CACCCCATAGGGCCGCGCCGCAATTCCCAAGGTTGGCGCGGGGTGATGACGGGCGGGGGGGGGGGGCATTTTCTCGCCCAGGAGCGCGAGCAACCTTCACCACGCAGGGCCGTGCCGCAGCTCCCGAAGGGGGCCGGCAGGCGCATCGAGAACCCAACACGCGGAGCCCAAAAGCATCGTGCCGCGCCGTCCCTGCCGCAGGCACGGGCCCTGCCCCGAAAGACCTCCCGAGCGACCTCGGCGGCGGCGAGGCCCCCTGGGGACTTTGCGCCAGGCCCCGCGGTGGCGGCGATGGACGGCAGGCCCCGAGCAGCCGCGGATCGGGCCCAGCATGCCCCTCGCCCGCTTGAGTGCTGGGGCTGCGGCGGCGCGTGGTTCACACCCCTTTTTGTTTTGTGCACTGTGCCTTCGACAACGTTCGATCGCAATTCGGAATTCCATCTGCTGCTCGCGCTTGAGGACCCTCTGCGCCGCTGCCTCAAAAGTGGTGCACGCCTTCTACGAGGTGAGGCCCAGCCCCCCTTGGGCGACGGGGCGCTGCAATCCTGCCTCAGGACGAACCATGCCAGGGCTCGGGCCTGGGGCTCGAGCCTGGTGGGCTGCGAGGACCAGCGGGAAGGTGGGAGGGGCAGGGAGCCCCGACTCCTTCAGTCGCTTTCTCGTGGCCGCCCCCAACCACCAGGCTCCCCGCACCCCGCCAGCGCTGGAACATTTAGGAAGCCTCGCGCCAGAACAGCAGTAGCAATGGCAGGGGGTGGGCGGACAAAGAAGAACTCTGGATAGGGGGGGGGGGCGGCCAGCGACACGCACGAGGAAGTCTCCACCCGCTGGGCCTATGGCTCGCCCCGCTTACACAGGGAAGGCCACGCCCCCATGGGCGCTGGGGGGGCCGCAGGGGGGAGGGGGGGGTCACTCTCCGACCAAGGGGCGCGAGCATCGCCCACCCCGAGGGGGCTACGCCGCAATCCCCAAAGAGGGAGGAGGAGGGGGGCGGGACAGTGGTCTCCAGATGTCCCAGGAGGCCCCTGGAAGGCGCAGGAAGGCTTGTGGTGTTCCCATCAGCCCTCTGAGCAGCTCCTGGCTGGCAGGGCGTGCGAGAACGCGACGGCTCAAACACCGCAGTCGCACACACCTCTTGATGCAGACCACTAAACGAGTCTTGTTCACAGAAGTGTCAGCGCCACCTGTTGGCTTACCTCACGCTTACCGCAGATCTCAGCGCCGCCGATTAGATCTGCACAGGGCTTCTTGGCAACAGCACAGGGGCCCACGGGCGTCCGCATGGACGGAGTGGCGGACCTTCTTGGGAAATGGTTGAGGGCCCACGAACCAGCCCCAACGACCTCCATGGCCTCCGTCGCCCCGTTGGTGCGGCCCGTCCACAGACGGGGCCCTCGCCCGTTGGGAAGTTGCTGTTGGGGGGGTGCGCGGTCAAGCCCTAACGACGTCCCTGGTTTGTGTCGCCTTGTTGCTGAGCCCCGCCACAGAACGCCCACGGGATGTTTGGCACCACAAATTTCAGCTGCGCCTGCAGCCTCCCGCACCAGAAGGTGCCTGCACCCACTTGACAAGGGGTGCAATATCACCAGAAGGAGAGGTGCATGGCACCGCACCTCTGAACCTCCCTGGCCCACGTCTCGCTGTCAAGGGCCAGCCACAAGACGTCGGCGTGATGCCGAGCGCCGCACCACCAGCAGAAGAGATACATGGCACCGCGCCTCCAGTCAGGCCCGCTGGAAAGAGGGAGGGAGGGGGAGTAAGTCTCTCAGAGCCCCGAATCATCAGAGTTGGGGACGGTCTGGGATAGCTACAGATTCGCGCCTCGGGGGCCCAAACCGGAGTTACCCCAGACCGCAGTTATCCCAGACGACTCGGGCGTCCAGCCCTCCATCATCAGGGTTGGGGGCAGTCAAGGGTAACGACAGAGTCGCGCCCCAGAGGCCCAAACCACAGTTGCCCCAGACGCGCGGGGGGGGGGGAGGGCAGAACTCCCACCCTGACACGTCGATTCGAGAATGGTCCGTTGTCGGCTCTCGAGCAAGGCGCCGCGGCCGCCATTTTTTCCAGGCTGGCGCCCGCCCGGTTTGGGCCCGAGGTCTTCTTCATTAAACAACGTTTTACTCAAGGGCTTAAAAGAACGCCCCTGCCCTGGTTTACGAGTCGTTGTGCGCTGAAACTCCTGTGGGCTGACATGGCAAACCCTGCGTGACGTGCGGCGGCCTGGCGGCTCCAGGCTCTGGGGGGCACCAGGAGGTTTACAGACCACGCACTTTGCAGCCCAGGGCAGGGCCGTTTTTTCATCACTCCCTCCTCCCTCTCTCCTCCCTCCTCGCTCCTCCCTCCTCCCTCTCCTCCTCCCTCTCCTCCTCCTCCTCCTCCTCCTCCTCCTCCCTCCCTCCCTCCCTCC